CGGGCTGGGGGCTGGCGCAGCACCACGGAGCCTCAGGAGCCCCCAGCACAGGACCTGCGGGCTGCTGTGGCCGCTGTCCAGGGGGCCGTCCATGAGCTGCTGGAGTTTGCCCGCAGCGCCGTGGGCAACTCTGCCCACACTTCTGACCGTACACTGAATGCCAAGCTTAGCCGGCAACTGCAGAAGATGGAGGACGTGTACCAGACATTGGTGGCCCATGGTCAGACCTTTGACAGTAGCCGAGGAGGCCCTGGGGCCACTTCTGAAGACCTGGACCGCCTGGTGGCCTGCTCACGGGCTGTGCCCGAGGATGCCAAGCAGCTGGCTTCCTTCTTGCATGGCAATGCCTCGCTGCTCTTCAGACGGACCAAGGCCCCTGTCTCAGGGCCCGAGGGGGGCGGCTCCCTGCATCCCATCCCCACCGACAAGGCCAGCAGTATCCAGTCCCGGCCCCTGCCCTCACCCCCCAAGTTCACCTCCCAGGACTCACCGGATGGGCAGTACGAGAACAGTGAGGGGGGCTGGATGGAGGATTACGACTATGTCCACCTGCAGGTGGGTGCCCGCCCTGCCCAGGTTCCCCGGTCCTCTTTGAGCTCTGGTTTTTCCACCCCTGTCATGGGACCCTTATCACCCTCACTGAGGGCTTTGTGGCCCAAGGAGGATTTGGCCCCAGGAGGGCCTCGATGGGTCCCTTGTCCTCCTCTCACTTTGAGCTTCTAGGCCAGAGGGCCCCCCAGAAGCCCATTCCTCTCCCCACCTCAGGCCTTTGGGCCAACGCATCCTTGTCATCAGGGTCCTGCAGGTGAACCAGGGCAGAGGTGGCTGTTCTGTTTGGGGAGGTGGGTCCTGAAATATAAGCAAAGACAAAGATACTTCCAGGCAAGGGGGAACAAGCAAGGGGATGAGAAGGTGGTCCTCTGAGCAGAGACCGGGTGCCAGCCAGGTGGTCTCGGCATTCCAGGCTGAGATCTGGCACGGGGTCAGCACAGGGCAGGGGCAGGTGGGCAGGCTCTGTAAGCCTAGAGCAGTGGTTGGCACATGGGGCTCTTTGGCCCCTTGAGTGTGGCTCTTCCACAAAATACCATGTGCGGGCGCGCGTGTACAGTGCGATTGAAACTTCGTGGCCACACTCAAGGGGCCAAAGAGCCGCATGTGGCTTGCGAGCCGCAGTTTGCCGACCACTGGCCTAGGGGACGGGCATGAATGTGACTTCTGGCACCGGAACGAAGGCAGGGAGGCTGGCCTTGGCCACATGTAGTATGCCCACCCCTCCCTGTGCTGGCCAGAGATGGAGGCCCAGGAGGGCTGCTTCCTCTGGAAGCTGACCCACCTTGGGCCCGTGGCCTCGGTGCGAGCCTGGTGCAGTGTGCAGCGCCACCTGGTGGCCACTCTTCTCACTGCGCCCCCTCCTGGTCTGGGGGGGTCCTGGCTCAGCCCAGTCCTTGTGTCTCCCCTCCAGGGGAAGGAAGAGTTTGAGAAGACTCAGAAGGAGCTGCTGGAAAAGGGCAACATCATGCGGCAGGGGAAGGGTCAGCTGGAGCTGCAGCAGGTGAGGACGCGGGACACCCGCTGCTTCAGCAAACGCTGCTTGTCTGTCAGAAGCCAGCCTGCGGAGCTGAGCCTCGGGCCTCCCTCCCAGCCCCACTCCACTGCATCCTGGCCCCATGCGTTTGCTGGGTTGACACTAGCAGAGTGATCGTGGTGGACGTTTTAGAGTGAACATAGAGAAAAGTGTAAGAAAGCAGGAAAAGAAGCCGGTTACCCAGAGGAGTGTTTAACATGGTACTTTGTGAACAGTTACATCTGCCTTTATCTCACCCGTTTTTCCATGGCATTAAACATTCCTCATAAATTATTTTATAAGGTCATATAGCATTATTGTTGAACATTTAAATCGTACCCAGTTTTCTTTATAAATCATTTATCTGCAAATATAGAATCTCCTTCATATTTTGTACCACTTGAAAAAGACAGTTTACAAAAACTAAGGGAGTTTTATTCTGATTATGAAGATAATAAAAATTAAAACATAGACTAGCACAAAATAAACGCAGAAATATCACCCATAAAGTTCTCTGCTTGGTGCATTAAGTCTTTTTATGTTGTATATGTTAAGAACATGATTTTTTTTTTTTTACTTTTCATTTTGAAATATTTATAAATTCACAGGGAGTTGCAAAGAGTTTCCCCACGATTATGTTCTGACTGATTAGAGAGCAGCACCCAGACAAGAGTGATGTCCCTCGTCTTCACAGCCACTCAGTTCTCCATGTCTCTCATTGTGCCATTTTTAAAATGTGATAGAAATGGAATCATAAAGGAGATTGACAAAAGTTATTTGGAGAATCTCTAGAACAGTGGTTCTCAACCTTGGCTGCACATTAGAATCACCTGGGAATCTTTTTAAAATCCTGATTTCTGGGCCTCATCCTCCGGAAATTCTGTTTCTTTGTTACTAATGTTGTGGCCCCACCCCATAACAAAGAAACAGAAATTCCAGAGGATGAGGCCCGGAAATCAGGATTAAAAATCTGCCAATAGGACAGGAGGCCTGTCCCCGCGGCTGCGGACTCCGAGTGCCGCCCCTTTTGAGCCCTCATACTCTGTGGCTGCAGTCTCACTCTGCCTTCCCTCTCCCCAGCTGAAGCAGTTTGAGCGGCTGGAGCAAGAGGTGTCCCGGCCCATCGACCACGACCTGACCAACTGGACGTCGGCCCAGTCCCTGGCCCCAGGGCGGACAGGCAGCCTGGGGCCCTCGGACCGGCAGCTGCTGCTCTTCTACCTGGAGCAGTGCGAGGCGAACCTGACCACGCTCACCAACGCGGTGGATGCCTTCTTCACCGCCGTGGCCACCAACCAGCCACCCAAGATCTTTGTGGCGCACAGCAAGTTTGTCATCCTCAGCGCCCATAAGCTGGTGTTCATCGGGGACACGCTGTCGCGGCAGGCCAAGGCAGCTGACGTCCGCAGCCAGGTGACTCACTACAGCAACCTACTGTGCGACCTCCTGCGTGGCATCGTGGCCACCACCAAGGCTGCTGCCCTGCAGTACCCATCGCCCACCGCCGCCCAGGACATGGTGGACAGGGTCAAGGAGCTGGGTCATAGCACTCAGCAGTTCCGCCGGGTCCTGGGCCAGCTGGCAGCTGCCTGAGGACAGTGACCTGAGGGATGGAGGGTGGGGGACGAGGGCAGTGATGGTCCGAGCTGCCCCGAGCACCTCCCCGAGAGTCTCAGTGCTGCAGGCCTGGGGACAGGCATCCCCAGCTTCCCCAGGCCTGGTGCCCAGCCTGTCAGGGATTTGTACATATTTATGACAGGGCAGGGTGTGGGCTCAGGAGCCCAAGCAGAGCTAGGCCCCCAGAGCCCGGGCCAGGGAGCAGGCTGGCGTCTTCCCTGAGGGCGCTGCAGGCCTGGGGAGGTCCCAGCTCAGCAGCCAGGCCACAGGCGTGCAGGCCCCTTGGCCCACACGGCCTTGGTGACCCCTGGGGGCTGACCTCAGCCCCATGAGGGTGCTATGTCCCCCCAGGGGTCAGTGCCACTGAGATGTGCTCCTCAGCACCAAGAGAAACCCCTAAAAAACTATTTTTCATTATTGATTTTCCAATCATTTGACTAACAGTCTACATTTAAATAAAATTTTAAAAATGAAAAGCAGCCTCCTGAGGTGTGAGAGGCGGAGGACCCTTGGAGGGAAGGTGGGGTGTGCTCACGGTGATGCCCAGCGTAGGAGTGGGTTGAGGAGACCTGTGGTGAGGCTGTGGACGTCCTCTGGGGAATGGGAGGGTCCCAGCAGAAGAAAGCCAAGGCCACGGGAAACGGCTGGGCCACGGAGATAAGGCCAGTATCCCCTGCAAGGTGGGGCCAGGTTTGCTAATGGATGCAAGGCCTTGGGAGCTGGGGGTCCGTCCAGCCCGCCATGAAGTCTGGGCTGGGAGGCAGATGTCCGGGTCTGGTTCGGAGGTTCTGAGAGTCAGGCCTGCTCTGCCTAGGCCACGGCTCTCCTGGCTGGTTTTTTTGTTTGTTTTCATTTAATTATGTTTTTCTTAATTTCAGAGAGAAAGGGAGAGGGAGAGATAGAAAATCAATGATGAGAGAGAATCATTGATTGGCTGCCTCCTGCACACCCCCTACTGGGGATAGAGTCTGCAACCCGGTTCATAGGTCAATGTTCAACCACTGAGCACACCGTCTGGGCACTGACTGGTTCTTTAATAGGACAGAAGCTGCCGGGAAAGGGCAGCAGTTCCCTCATCAACCACTGAGTGTGGTGGGTCCCCGCCAGTGGCTCCAGTAGGCCTGGGAGAGGCAGCCAGGGGGCAGCTCCCGGGAGGGTTCCTGGAGCCACAGGTGTGGGACCAACAGCAGGCCTGTCCTCTGGATGCCACTCCCCGGCACCAGGCCAAGCCAAGCACTGAGCAGGGGGTGGATGGTGAGCACCCCGCAGCCCAGGTGGGAGCTGGGGGCCAAGGTCCTATTCATCTGCCTGGCCACTCTGGGGAAGTGACGAAGGAGGGACCCACCCAGGACCCCCTGCACCAGGTGGAGTGAAGGCCCAAGCTCAGGAGCAGAGTGAGGCCTTACAGGCCCTGACACAAGAGACGGATGCCATCAACATGTTTTCACGGGTTTATTGAGCTTTGTGGGAGCAGGGTTGTCAGGGAGACCAGGGCAGGGCCAGGGCCTCAGTTGTCGGCCAGGATCTGCCGCACCCAGGGCATGAGCTCCGTGACCCGGGCGTACACGCCAGGGCTGGAGGTGGAGCAGGTGCCGCTGCCCCAGGACACGATGCCCACCAGGGTCCAGGCTCCATCCTTCTGGCAGACCAGGGGGCCCCCAGAGTCGCCCTGCAGGAGGAGGAGAGGGCTTGGGTCTGGCAGCCCAGGTAGCCTGGCCCAGAGGCCCCTGGATGGTTCCCAGAGCCCAGTCCAGGGCCTGGCAGCCCTAGACCCAGCACCCGTCTCCTGGAAGGATTATGGGAACCTGAGCAGCTCTTTTAGCTCATGCCCTGGAAGTTGGGACCACCCCAGGGTGAGGTTCTGTGATGGAGGCTCACAACGCTGGTTTGATAGGAGGAAAGCAAGGGCAGTGGGGCCATGATGAGGAGCAAGGGCTGCTTCTGGAGCCCTGGGCACCCGTTCCTTGCCCAGGCGGCGCCCTGTACAGCTCCAGGAGGAGCTGTTTGCTCAGAACTCGACATCCATGGAATCTTGCATTGTGGTGGCCCCAAGCCCCACCGAGTCAGTGGTGGCCCGCCAGGAGATCCTTCCCAGCCTCAGCTAGGAGCACCCAGGAAGGAGCCTGCCTGCTCCCCACTTCCCTCTGCCCACGCCCCTGGCCTGGGCTCTTGCCTGAACCCACCCCAGCCACAACCAGGTGGGAGGTTCTGAAGAAAAAGGAGGGGGTTCCTGCTACCAGGCGGGGAGGAAGGGGTGCAGAGTGAGCCCAGGCAGCCATACCATGCAGGAGGAGACGCCGCTGGCGCCGGCGCAGACCATGAGGTCGGTGATCTTGTTGCCCCAGAACTTCTTGCAGCTGGCGTTGGACAGGAGGGGCAGGGCCGCCTGCTGCAGCTTGTCGGGGGTGTTGGCATCTGGAAGGGCCGGTGGTGGTCAGCACCAGCAGCCCCCCTGCCCGCAGCCTCCACCTGCCGCCCGCCCACCGGGTCACTCACTGTTGTGTTTGGTCAGGCCCCAGCCGGTGGTGGCGCACAGGGTGCCGGCGGGGAAGTCGTCGGCCTCATCGGGCAGGCACACGGCAGACACGGTCTGAGAGAAGCGGGCGGGCGTGGCCAGCTTCAGCAGGGTGATGTCGTTGTTGACGGTGAACATGTTGAACTTGGGGTTCTTGAACACCTGAGATGGGGCGGACAGCCACAGTTGGGGTCTGAGCAGAAACCGACCCAGGGCTGGGTCACCCTCATCTGTTGGGGTCCAACCCCAACAGGTCCAGGGGAGCTCGAAGGTGTGGACGGAGTCGGCGAAGAAGGAATGACACGGAGGCAGTGTTCAGATGATCAGCAAAGCCAGGTTCTCTTTAGCCAGGTTCTCCAGCCAGGTTATGTCTTTATTCTCCTGTTACATCTGTATTTATACCAGTTGATTTTAATCCTATCCATTCTATTCCAACGGTTAGGGCGTTTGTTATCTCATATGCTGTGCAGATGTTTCTTTCCTGCAGCGACTGTGTCAAGCAGCAAGGATGGACCGGCTTCCGGCACTCATCGCCTCCGTCCCCTCTGACCACGGGCCACTTCAGCTCGGCAGCTTCTTTCATGGGCCCAGGACGGAGGTGCCGACCCCCCTGCATGGAACCTCACCCCCTGCTTTCTGCTTTTGCCCATCTGGAGGGGGTATTGGGTGACCGGGAGGAACTTGGCTTCCTTTACCTCCCCGCAGCCCAGGGCTTTCTCAGGATGTTGGCCCAGCCCCGTTAGCCTGCCCTGCCTGGGCCACCTTACCTTGGCAATCTTCAGCACCTGGGTGTCCTCAGCGTCTGAGCCCTGGTCAAACTCCCCAGCCACAACCAGGTGGGAGGTTCTGAAGAGAAAGGAGAGGATTCCTGCTATGAGGTGGTGAGTGCGTGTGTGTGTGTGTGTGTGTGTGTGTGTGTATGCAGGTATATGGGCGTGTGTGTGTGTGTGTGTGTAGGTATATGGGCGTGTGTGTGTGTGTGTGTGTAGGTATATGGGTGTGTGTGTGTGTGTGTGTGTGCGCGCGCGCGAGCGCCTCTGTGTGGTGCTGGTCAGAGACAGGAGCTCCGAATGTCAACAGCTGCCCCGGGACAGCTGTGCTACAGCCTGTGAGTGTTTCTTTCCCAGTGACCCCTGGGAGGCCAGCAAGACTTGAGTTTTCTACACATTTCCAATTAGGAAACTGAGGAATGGAGCTCAGAAGGCCCTCCTCCCACCCCAATGGGTTTCCTGGGGACCCCAGGCCTCACCTGACCCCACAGTGGGCAGCAGTCACCACCCAGTCCTCGCTGATGAGGGAGCCCCCGCAGAAGTGGAAGCCGGTTTTGTCCTGGAGGAGGACGGGAGGTCAGCGCCGGCCGGACAGCGGCAGCCCTCGCGGGCCCCCCACCCCAGCGTGACCCTCACTCACCTGCAGGGACACCTGCCAGGGCCAGGAGCCGGGGACGGCGTCCTCCCCATTGACGATCCTGGACAGGCCGCTCAGCACGGGGTGGATGGCGGGGACTCCGCAGCCTGAGGTGGGCGTATGAGGTGAGGGGCAGAGGCCAAGGTCACCTCTGGGCCCCCCACCCAGGTCCCACCGCCCCAGGAATTCCCAGGGAGAGCTCAGTGTGCCCTGTGCTTCAGCCCAGACAAGCCCGGCAGGTTGAGTGCGGTGGTGCAGGGCGAATGCCTGGGCAGGGAAGCTGGGCTCCGGGATTTGAACCCAGCCCCAGCATTGCCTAGCTTAGCCGCTGAGTCTGTGTTCCCATAAACAAAATGGGACCATATGGTTGCTAACCTCGCAGAGCTGGTATAAGGATATGAGTTAACAGGTAAAGCACGAAGTTGTTCTGGGAACGTAAGCCCTCCGCAGACAAGAGTTTAAAAGGGCCCGAAAGGGCTGGTAGGGGCTGTCTTCCTGCTCACTATCTGAGTCGGTTTGGGAATCACCAACTCTCCAGAGAGCTTTCCGTCCCTCTGGATTTGTCCTCCCTGTTCCCCTGCACAGGTGTGAGGCCTCGGGGCAGCCCTAGGAGCAGCCACCTCCGCCCCAGGGCCTCACACTGGCTGGTCTGATCCAATCTTCCCAGCGTCTCCATTCTAGAGGTGGGGCTGCTGAGGCTCGGGCTGAGAGACCGCTCAGGCTCATACCACCTTGCATGATTGAACTGGGAGTGGGCCCCAGGGTTGGGGGCCCCGGCTGCTGCCGGCCCCAGCGCTCACCGAAGGCTGTGCCCAGGAGGGCGAAGCAAGAGAGGAGCCAGAGGAAGGCCATGGTGTCACTGTCAGGGAGGTGCAGGGCATGGGCCTGGGAGGCTCCCCATTTTATCCCTGTGACCAGGCTGTTATCTGGGGACCTTGAGGTGACCGTCTTTTTCCTGGGCAGGTGCCAAGTGGGCAGGATGTGCCCAAGCAGGCCCGCCTGGGACAGCAGCAGCTGCAGCCACGGCTTGTGCGTGGGGCCAGGGTCAAGGCAAAGGGGCACTGGTTTAGGTGGACCTTGACGCACAGCCAAGAGGAAATGAGATGTCACGGTTGTTCTTCATTCCCCTGCACTCGGCTTCCTCCCCAGGCCCTGCCTTGGGAGGGGCCCTGTGGCAGCAGCCAGACCTGGGCAAGCCACAGCCTAGTCTCTCACGGGCTGAGGGTCTGGACAAGTAATTTAGTTGGTCTATAAGTTCTTCAAAACCCCCTGGGCAGTGTGGTCGAGTGGGGAGGTGCAGGTGAGGGCACAGGTGGCCAGGGGCTGAGTGCTCCCCGAGTTTCGGGGATGGGTGTCCAAGAAGGCTCAGTGAGGCTCCGATGTCTGTGTGGCCCCTCGGGCTGCTTGAGGTGTGGTGTGGAAAGGCAAGCCGCCCCCTGCCGCTCACACAGACCTGGGTCCGGGGGCCACCTTGGGGCCCCTGCTATCGCCCCCCCGAAAGCTGATGCAGGCTGGACCAGGTGGGATCATGGGATCAGGGAGGCCTGTTTCTGG